TTTTAAAAAAAGCATAATGTTTCTCTTGAGTAGAGTTTCACTCCTGATGATTACACAGATATGTCCATGTTGTTTTATTTGCAATAATATGGAATATAGTAGTTGCTCATATTCTTCTTTTAGGGTATTTATTCAACTTCTCAGTCTAGTCTACAGCTCTGGGAATTCCTGATAGTCTTCTATCCAAATATTAACAGGGTTTGATCCCACTTTCAGCCAAAACTATATTGGTGCTGCCATTTATTGCCATATATTCTAAATTTCATTTATTCATTAATTGAAGAAAGATCTTTTTCTGTACCTCTTTCCTTACTATATAATATGTTAATATTATACTTTATTCTGTGTGTACTTTATTCATTTCAAAAATAATTGTCAGAGCTGATAATTGTGTATATTTTATTCAAAAAATATTTGACAGAGCAACTATATAACCCTATCCAAGCATTCCACCTAAATGTTCTAATTAAGAAAGAAGTAGTAAGTAGTGAAGCAATATTTATCACAATGCCTTTCATGTTCAGTTGCTTTAAAAAAAAAAAATCCTTTTGTGGACATTGAGAGGGAATAAGTGTAGACCAGCTATCACTTTATTTTAAATTTCATCAAAGGTTGGGAGCGTGGCAGAGGAATGAGATAGTTATGATCCAGCAGATCCACAGCTTCACTTCAACTTTAGGAAAAGGTGGCCTCCTCAACCAGCAGGAAGGAAAGTACCATTTTGAATTTCTCCTTCTGACTTCAAAGGAGAAATGATACTGGGATAAAATTCCAAAGACCATAGAATTGTTTCCTAATCCTAATTATACTTATTAAGAAAATAAAAGATTGTTTCTTCAGTAGGTGATAAATATTAAAACAAAAATAAAAATGCAACTCTTCTCCTCACACATTATAGGTTCAGCAGCTTTCCAAAAAAGAAATAGAGGATCTTTTGAGGAAAGGAGCTTATGGTGCTTTAATGGATGAAGAAGATGAAGGGTCCAAATTCTGTGAAGAGGATATAGATCAAATTCTTTTGAGGCGAACACACACAATCACAATTGAGTCTGAGGGAAAAGGCTCCACATTTGCAAAGGTGGGTATTAAAGATAATAATTTTCTAGATTAATCAGAAGCATGTATGAATTATCTTTCCCATGGATAATCTTGAATATAGGCATACCCTTAAATTCCACCATAGCAAACACTAAAATGTCAGTGTTCCAAATCCTGTATGGATGTAGAATTCATTGAGTCTGTACAAGTTTGCAAGTTGAAACATGAATATAATTTGAAAGCAATTCCCCTTCTATAAAATACTTGGAAACTTTATAGGAAAGCCCTGAAGAAAAACAGAAGAATCTATAAAGTATCTGAAATATGTAATTTCATACCTTAAAGCAAGTATAAATGTCTGTTCAGTGTATACAAGAAAAAAGGTGTTTTAGAGAACCTGTAACTCAGCTGGGAATACTCAGCAGTGAACATTCATGTAGAATGTATTATGTTTTGTATCTTTAACACATGATATGGAGAACTACCTAGAATGTATACACTTTGCATAGAACATTTATTAAGAAGTTTTGTGCAGTGCTTAAGGAAGAGTAATTTATTTTACCATGAATATTCTCCATCAATGGTTTTAGAAGAAGGATGCAATTATTTGGAGAGTAAAAGACAAAGTATAAAGCAGTCATTCAACCTTCTGTGCTCCATGCTGGATACTTTTTTTGGGGGGTGACATTGCAGCAGGTAATAAAGAACACTATCTTTTTGTCACAGCACTTTCACCCAGAGAATCAGAATGTACTTTTTTTCTTCAAAGGACATTTTGCATGTTAATATTTACTTTAATCTATTTAAAACTCAGACAGTTATTTCATTTGTTTCTGGCAGACAGGGATCTGTCATCATCCTCATCTTGAGGATACTGCTGAATGAAAGCAGTAATGCTGTACAGCTACTCTAGCAGTATATAAAGCATTCAAAGTGAAGTGGTTTGCGCCCCAAACATCTAATAAACACTTCTGGTAGAATCAGAACAGCTTTAAAACAGGTTTTGTGAGGTCAAAATATTTTACGCACCTCTGGTCACTATCTGTTTCTTTGGATCTCTGGTTCTGTGTGACACAGAACTGCCTATTTTTTATTTATTTTTCTATTTTTGTTCTGCAGACATGAAAACAAAGGTGAACAAAGACAAAATATTTTTCATTACATGAGTGTGTATATATTGCAGGCTTTAATCAAGCTATTGTGTTATTTTGTTTTAGGCTAGTTTTGTTGCATCTGGTAACAGAACAGATATTTCTTTAGATGATCCTAATTTCTGGCAGAAGTGGGCAAAAAAAGCCGAACTTGACATTGAAGCCTTAAATGGAAGGGTAAGAAATTTAAACTTACCTATTTTATTTAATTTGCTAAAATATATTTATTATTCCTATTTAAACAAAAATACCTTTTTATTTTTGTTATAGAACAATCTAGTTATTGATACTCCAAGAATAAGAAAGCAAACTAGATTATACAGTGCAGTCAAAGAAGATGAACTGATGGAATTTTCAGACCTCGAAAGTGATTCTGAAGAAAAACCTAGTATAAAACTTCGTAGGCCACAGGACAAATCCCAGGGATATGCAAGGAGTGAATGTTTTAGAGTAGAAAAAAATCTTTTGGTCTATGGGTAAGTAAAATGACCTGAAAAACAAAACAATATTCAAGGCTTGTATACTATTTGGCCCTTACTAGTTATATATGGTGGTAACTTACTGCACATATAGACTAGAAACAAAAGTCTCATATAACAGATGCTGTTTCTTGGAATACATTACTTTCCTTGACAGCGAACAGTGGAAGAACTTGGTTTGCATGCATGATGCTGAATTGTTAGACTATAGTCTTGATTTTCCCATTCATTCATCTGTCCGTTTGTTCATTTATCATACCAATACATCATTTCTAAACCAAATTCATTGTTAAAAACATTCTAAAGTGAGAAACAATTAGAAAATTATTTACAATAAGTAAAAAACAATCTAAATGTTGATGGTGATGATTATGATGATACAACTCAGTAGAATCTCCAGAAAACCAATGTATTTAAACATGTAAACAGCAAAAATAATAATGATATGTAGTATTAATAAGTAGAGTAGCTCAGATTTAACCAGCAGACTACGTAAAAAGTTGCATTTTTAGTTCTAAAAACTCATAAGGTTCATTGCCAGTCATAATTGAACAAAGAGGAAATTCTACAATGGGAGCTTGTCTTGAGAATGCTCTTTCTCTGGTCACCAGATAGTAGATCACTGGCAGACAGAGCACATTGAAAAGGTGTTGCTACTAAATCATAGTTGACAGGCAGATATTTAAGGGAGGAGGTCCCATATACACTTTGTATGCCATTACAGTTATATTTGATTTAGTACCTTCTGAACAGGTGTAATATCTTTGTGATAACCAAAAGTCAGTTTTTATTGGAGTGGGTCCAAATATCCTGTTTTCTTCCAAGAACATCGGCAGTTGTAGATTTACCATCTTTTCAAGGATATATTATTGAGTGGAATGAAGTAGTTAAGAACCAAATGATCCAGGGTGGGTTTTTTTAAAGTGGAGATGTTTTACCATACCTCTCAAGTTAGCTAATACCAAACCTTTTCACAGAGGTGCATTTACTGTACTCTGGTTCCAACCACCTGCGCTCATCCAGCTAGATCCAATCGGCCATGAAGGACAGGAATTGAGAAGATACATGATGGAATGCACAGCTTCAGACATTTTGTCCAACTGTGGCATCTGGGTCGAAATGAAAAAGCGGAGTTTTATATCTAAATGCCCTTGTGAGTGTGTTTGTGGGCTCCAACAGCCTGTTTGTAGGAGTAGAATTTAAAAGTCCCCAAACAACACAGCATTATTCTGCCAGATGGCTACAGATGAGAATATGGAATGATGGCTGTGAAGAAACTCTTCTTCACTACCTTTACTGCTGCAAGTTAGCATGGTGAAGTTCGTTTATCTTCACATTTGATTTTCACCATTTGTACTCCAGCCATTTTGTGATATGTTTCATTGCCCATAGGCCTTCTGAAATCCAAAAAGCTTTCCAGACTTTATGTTGGCAGAGATTTTAAGAGTGATTTAGTCAGTGATCTGTTTAATTACACTATTAATATTCAAGTTAGGGCCTCAGCAGAATTGCCAGCCTTGTCACTAAGGCATTCGGGAATCTTTAACATTCCATAATTCTCCAAAACCAAATGATCCTAATAGATTCCCCTGCCTACAGGTAGATAAGAAAACTGGCAGTTCCAATCTTATCAGGGAATGCTTAGACCACAGTAAAGAGGGGATGACAACTCCCTTCGCTTTTAGGTCACTCTCTTCCTACCTTGAGGCAAAGACCAAATGAAGAATATGTTCTGCTTCCTAATGTTGAGTCAGTGACCCATTAAGACAGCTCCATGGTTTATTATAGAAGCCAACACATCACAACCCAGCACCAAAAAGCAACCCCCAAGTGAATGTTGAAATCCTCATGGACTATTGTTATCGGATTCTCCAGTTCCATGTCAGAAATCACCCTGACCAGCTGAAGAAATAGTGGAATGCACAATACACAAAACATTCTGTTTCTATAGCCCAATACCAGGACATACACCTAAAATCTGCAAGAGTTGAATGGCTTCCTGGTAGATGTAAAAGGATGTCTGTGGATCACAACCATTATCTCCCTCCACCCTCCAACTTACGCCGATGCCCGCCAAGATAGGCAAGCCAACCCTACCCCATTCACTCATCCTGGTCTCATTAATGCACAACAAGTGAGACCTCTTATCCATGAATGATGTTGTTATTTATTTTGGGTTGATCCAGCATTCACTAACAGCACTGCCAGACTGGAAGGTAAGTTGTCAGGCAACTGTGTTCTGGAATATGGGAGAGAAACCGACTGATGGAACTTCTTTCAACCAGTATGCATCATCTCAGTGCACAACACCAACCCTCCCCATCATAGTTTAGATTGTACAGCCCTGTTTCTTTTCTACTCACCCCTCCAGATAAACTCAGCCTCATTACTAGCATTTAGCTGCAGTAGATGAGACAACCATCCTGCAAACATATTATCACACATAGTATCTACTGCATCAGCCTTCCCCAACCTGGCATGTTCTATATGTATTTGGACTGCAATTCTTACAATTTTGTGAGTGGTAAAATTGAGGCAATTACTGTAAAAACTAGGTTTGGATTCTAGCCATTTAGAAAATCAAAGGATCAAAATTGTAGTTGCATAACCACACATATTACAATTGTCACCTAATCACATACTAGGAATTCTTAAAGTCATCTTTTTAAAAAAACAGATTTTCCTTTTTTAAAGAAAACCTGCTTCTGTTGCTGTCTTTCCCAAGATCTTATAAAGAGAAAAAATTACAACATGGTAAGGTTATGCTAGAGATGTTTATGATAGGGAATGGACAGGTAGTTAAAAGATTAGATTTAGTAAAAAATTTATGCTTCACCATTTGTTTTATAGTTCAGTGAACTCAATTCTGTGAAATTTGATAATTTTCAAATTAAAGTTATGTCACAAATCCCTTATTGTATTACTGAATCTAGCAAAACTGCCTTAGTGAATGATAGTAAGATGATATTAAGAGTCTCTGTTCTAAGCTTTGTTCCTGTGGACTGTTAGTACAGATAGAGTATTACAGAACTGAATTCAAATTGATGTCAAAATCACAAAATTGCAGAAATTGCTCTGGGATACAAATTCCTATTTAGAGCATATGAGAGCCATTAGCATTAGACATGTATTTTATGGTTTCCAGGATAGTAATATAATAGTGAACTTGCTGCTTGCTTAGTAAAATAACTTGGATGCTAGGGAATTGATTCCTGTGACCCACAGAATATACTTAACGTATTTTGTCTTAATACAAAAACTCTTCAAGTAATGACAAAATGTGAAATCTGTTTGTTGTGGGGGTTTTTCTTATAGTTGGGGACGATGGACTGATATCCTTCTACATGGACGCTATAAGCGTCAGCTAACTGAGCAAGATGTGGAAACTATCTGCCGAACTATCCTTGTATATTGTCTCAATCATTACAAAGGAGATGAGAACATCAAAAGTTTTATCTGGGATTTGATTACTCCAACTGCAGATGGACAAACTCGGGCCTTAGTTAATCATTCTGGTATGTATCTGCATCTTATTATTTCATATCAACTTCTATAGAAGCCATAAAACATTGTTCTAAATCCATTGAGCAGTATACTGTGATCTTGAATAAAGCATGTATAGATCAATATTTCTGTGTGAAATGTGTTTGAGTGCTATTGTTAATCTTGCTCTCTGTCACTGTGAATTACATGTTCGTGTGTTCATCTGATATTTTGATACTAAAAGTTCCTTAGTTTATGAAAGTTAACAGTTTAATTAGTTTGTGAAAGTCAAGAGGTACTCTTACAAGATTTCTTGTAACTTAAATGTAGGAAACTAACTGAGATCATGACAGACCATTGGTTTGTCTGGTTCATTACACTTAAAGACAGTAATTGGAACCAGAATTTTTGTTGCTAAGCAATGCAGTCGTAAAGCATGGCATCATGTGACTGTGCTGTTTAGCAACGGAAATTCCAGTACTTCCGGTTGCTGCTGTTAAGCAAATCCCGTGATGTCACATGGTCACCATTTGCGATCTCCTGCTGGCTTCCCCACTGACTTTGCTTGTAGGAAGCTGGCAAAGAAGGTCGTAATTGGCAATCATACTGCAATATCGTAATTGCAAACTGGCCACTGAGTGCCAGGATCGCGGTCATGTGACTGCAGGGATGCTGTGACAGCTGTAAGTACAAGACTGATCGTAAGTACCACTTGTTCAGTGCTGTTGTAATTTTAAACGGTCACTGAATGAGTGGTCATTAAGCAAGGACCACCTGTACTCTCTCTATTGAATGGCAGTGGTTCTTAAGATCTGCAGATTGAATCTTTCCTGGCTGTAAAACAGATGCTAAAGTTCAAAGGTAAGACCCTTTTATGCAAAAAAGGTGCTCTGCCATTGAGTTGCAGTTTCTAATCTTTTCCTCAAGTTAATAAATGCGATCTTTGTAATTATATGTTTTGTTGGGAAAACATGTGAAGTTTTGGATTTATTAATTGATGGACCTCTTTTAGAAGTTTCAACCAAATGTTTCCTGCATCTGTTGATCAATCCTGTACGTCAGCTTAGAGATATTGTGGCCCATTCCTCTTACTGAACTGCTTCATCTCATTTTTGGACTGTCTTACATGAATGAGCAGGATATGCCCCAACAATTCAATTTGGTTAAGATTAAAACTTTGATTTGGCCATTCCAAAAATGAAATTACTTCTACTTATGCCATTCTGTTATAGTTTTGCCTGTGTGTTTAGCATTATTGTGCTTTATGACCTACATTCATTTAAGATTCAACTCATGAACAATTGTATTGACATTACCCTGTAGAATGTGCTAGTACAATCCATAGTCCATTGTTCCCTCAGTTATAGTGAGCTGTCTGGGGCATGAAGTTGCAAAAGGGTCCCAAACCATGATATTCTCACCACTGTGCTTCATGGTTAGGAGGAGGTTCTTTGTTGGAATGCACTGTTTTATTTTCTCCAAACATAATGCTTCCCTTTAACACTGTAAAATTCTACTTTAATCCCATATGTGCATAGAACATTGTTCCAGTAAACTGCTGGATCATTTAGGGGGTCTTTGGCATATTTGAGATGGATGCCATGCACTTTTATGAGAGAAGAGGTTTCATCTGTAATATCTTTCCATGCACACTACTCTTCTTAAGTGTTTTCCTGATGGTAGACTGATGAGTACTGATATGAGACATATGCTGAGCAGACTTGGATTGTGGCCATAAACATGCAAGGTTTTTAAATAGGGGATAGCTATTTAATAGGGGATGGCTATCCCCCATAAAGAGATTTGATTATCCTTGGACTTCACAAACTTTTTCCAACAATTGAATGTTGGCTCAGTGTATTCAGTAAAGACATAACACCATACATTTAATCAGGTATTGTTTGTTTAATCAGAATCTCTCACAGGATTACATATAATTCTAAAGGGTTCACAAACTTTCTTTTATACTGTATCTACTACATTAAAATCCTCAATGATTTTAGCCTTTTGAGCCTCCTCAATGATTTAGCCCCTAAATTTAGCCTTTTCTTTTAAAAAAAGGCCATTTTACTTTAATTGCAAATGAATGAAATTGCTATTTAGCTATGTATTATTTCTCCTTTTGCATTAAATAAGCTTTTTGTATCAGCATATGTTGTGCAGTTCTTTAGCATTTGCTTCTGTGTGGGAAAAGGTCACTGGATTGCTTTAAGTGAGCAGTTTGGTTCAGAGTTGCTGAAAGGCTACAACATTATTTTAAGTTCTTTGGCATAATGGGATGTAAATATTGAGCATGATCCAGCCATAGTTAAACATTATTACATCCCATCATCTCTTATTTCATGTTAACGGGACTGAAATACTTTTAATTTTGGCACAAATTCACAAATTCAGCTAATGAATTAAATTCTACAGTCTCTTTAAATTACACTTATGTAGAATATGTTGTAACATGTTTATGTTATTCTGTATCTAGTGCCTTTCATAATAAGCACAATCCTAGTCATGCCTACTCAGAAACTGAGTTAAAATAGGTTTAACACCCAGGTAAGTAAGTACATAGGATTGCAGGCGGGGTGCATAGGAGGGTGAATTGTGCAGTGACACTCTGTGGCTTTTCTATTTTTTTTTCAATTATTGCACAGTGCCTTTAACTGTGATAATGATCATCATGGAATGGAATGGCATAATTGGTAAGACCTAATTTTCCAAAAGTCCATACCATAATTTTAAAGAGCTGCGGGAAAGTGATTTCACAGGCAGATGGCCTCCTTTGACATGGTGTCAGAGTTAATGCTGAAAAACCATGCATGTGTACATTTCTTAGGCTTGTCTGCACCAGTGCCCCGGGGGAGAAAAGGCAAAAAAGTAAAAGCTCAGAGTTCACAACCAGTGCTACAGAATGCTGACTGGCTAGCCAGCTGTAATCCAGATGCCTTGTTTCAGGAGGACAGCTATAAGAAACATCTCAAACATCACTGTAATAAGTAAGTTAATCCATTTCCCTCATTTTGACTTGACCTTTAATGTTTTCGTGGAACTCAAATTCTAGGACCATAAGGTAGGTCATGTAGATTACTATAAGGATAGCCTTTAAATTATGCTTCATCATTTGTCACTTCAAAATCAGCTTGGATGATGTTTGGATGGCTTTCTCTATGCTATTAATTTCAGTCAAGTTTCTAAGGAGACAGTTTTAATTTTATCACTAAAGAAGTACTGTAGCTATCATAGCAAAGTTTCACTTGTGTAACATTTAGCAAAATCAGCTTCATTGTGCTATGGTTTCAATTCTAAATCTTTGGGAATAATACAAATAGTTTTTCTACAAAATATAGCAAATTCTGTAGTTGTTCCTAAAGTACTCTCCTTATTATCACTTTCTCTGTGCTGCAGTGTTTAATAGGATGGATCCATAAGCATTCTTATTTTGGTATATGCTTAACATTTTCTTGGGATATAGTTTTGCCTGTTGGTCTTCTCGCTATGGTTAACATAAGTTGATTATCAGTATTTACGGTTGGTATTAGTTCATTGAATTACTGGAGCTTATAATTTCTCATGAGCCTGGTGTGTGGTATTTAATCTTTACATGCTATTCAGATGAAGCATTAAATTATATTACATGTCCTATGGACATTATTGAGGTGAGATAAGGGACAGGCTATAACTTTAATCATATTTATTTTGAAATTATCCTTACTGGAAACATTGAGATTTTGAAGGATATCTTGGATGAAAAAACTGTATAATTGTTGATGTTATTCAGGGCTTAACTGTCTGATGAAAATGAGTCATGTGCAATAAAAGACATTTAGTTCATGTTCATCATAATTTCTGCCTTAGGAAGTATATTGTTTTTTTAAATAGGTAACTTGTTCATCAAAAATCTACTCTACAAATTACAGTTTTTAATTGTAATTATATATTGTAATTCATTTATTGTGTAGTATATTATTGCACTGGTTATGGCTGTTGCTTTTGTGCATTCTCTTGGCCTTCTGGAAGGCTGTTAAGACCTGGCTTTTTCCTCATGCATAGGGCCAGAATGTTAGAGGAGGCCAAAATACATGTGTCTGTTTTGCGAGCTTATTATATGGTGCCTTGGCTTTTTTGTAGTGGATTATTTTTTCTTTCTTTGGTTATAGGGATTTTTTTTTATATTGTTTTTTCTTGTAAACTGGTTGTTAACCACTCAAAGTTATGTATTTAAGATGGGTGGCCATGTAAAATTTCTAAATAAATAAATATGCTGTTTAAAGTTGCTTTGAACAAAGTGATTAATAAATTTATGAATAAATTTCTAGTTTCATCTTCTGTTATATAGATAATATGACCAGGATACTCTAGCCCCTTTCGGGCATTATATTCCTGTGTTTAGTCCAATAGTGGGGCTTGGTGAGCAGCCCTTCCCCTCTTACAGTCATCTCTCTCTCTTACTCATATTCTTTCTCTTTAGACTTATAAGGCTGACCAACTCAACATTGATTGTGAGTGGCATAAAGATTAAAAGCATATGAAAAAGCAAACATAACAGAAAACATAATAGGGTAACAAATCCTAACAAAGAATCTGGCCATCTGAACTTCTGAGTGGATGCTGTTCCAAGAATAGACACTACAACAGAGAAAGTATGCTTCCTAGGCCCCATCAGATGACTCTGTTTAATGGATGGAACACAAAGTGTGGCTGTTCTGTCAGATTTTATAGGGTGGGGAGAAAAGATGGGAGAGTGATAGTCCTTCAGATAGCCAGGCCCTATGCCATCAAAGGCTATATAGGTGGTAACCAGCACCTTAAATTGCACCCAGAAGCTCCCTGGTAACTAATGCAGCTCATATAGAAAGATGAACCAACTGTAGCTTTTTAGTGTTCTTCAAGGGCAGCATCATATACAGCACATCAAAATAATCCATATTATACTAGTGATTGGAAGTGAAAGGATATCTCCATGCTTGCAGTGCAGTTGTCTGCAACTAGAAGCTTTGTGTCCTTGTATCACTCAACATGAGCTAGAATCTTTCACAATCAGGGTTCCAACCCATGTGTGAATGATTGGATATAGAGCTAGGATCTCCCAAGCATACAATCATGTTTTAAGAATGGATAACTTAGACCGTTCAAACATTTAACAGAATGCAATAAAGGTAACACCTGAATTTTCCTTGCATATTTTCAGTCTCAAGGTTGTACTAGCAAGAACAAAGAGTTGTGCTAGCAGTAATGTGTATGGGGGAGAGAAAAATGCTGATGTTGTTTTAATTAGTACATAAAGATTTACTATTCTTGATTTAATTTTCTCTCTACTTGTTCTCTTTCCACACAGTGTTTATCTGATATACAGGTAGTCCTCGTTTAGTGACCTTAATTGGGGCTAGCAACTCAGTGAAGTGGTTGCTAAGTGAAACTGCAACTGTGTTTATGATCTTACTTCAACTTTCCTTTGCTTTACAGACCTTTGAAGGTCATAAATGCGAGGGCTGGTTGCATAGTTACTTTTTTCATTACCATTGTAACTGCAAACAGTCACTAAATGAGTAGTACCTGTATTGCTATTTATTATGATAAGCCAAAAGCTATTGTCAGGATCCATAGAGCTGCTTAAGGTACTGCTGCTTATGATAATTTAAAATATCTAGGCAAGAGATGGGGAATGTTTGGTCCTCCAGATGTTACTGAACTACAGTCCCAAGCAATTCCTGCCAATCTGACCAAGAATGAGGGGTGCTAGGAATTCAAATTCAGCATTTGAACATCTGGAAGGCCACAGATCCCTTATCCCTACTTAGACACAGGAGTAAAAGTACATTTATGCATTCACCATAATACTACAAGAGTTATGTATTTTTTGCTGCTATTGACTTGAGTTTCTTGAGCAATATGTTTCTTCTTTGCCTATTTACTACTCCTGAAGGGAGTAGTAAACACACATTGTAATTTTATATTAGATGCTTTTTTGCCTGCTTAATGATGGGGGGCAGGGGTTGTATTCCGGTCAGTATGTGTTTATATGTACATTATTGACTTGTTTTACTGAATAAAAAAATTAAAAATCAGTAATTTTTTATATTTTACATTAGCAGATATTGCAGAGTACATTCAATTGGATCACATGATCCCAAGTGAATTCCTTATTTTTAGCATATAACTTATAAATAATTGAAAAGTTTAAAAAGGAAGAAAAACAAGTACAAAAGAATTGAAGGATAATATAGTCTCAAAATGGTTCCATTAAATTAACACTTTTTTAAAAAATAAAACAATCAAGATACGAGGGTAGACTAGGGGCTGAGTAGGCCCATTTCTGTGTGCGCATGGCTTATTTTTGGCTAGATCCAGGATGGCCAACTCTTTCAGCTTGGAGTACTGGATGATCCCTAACTAAGCTACTTAGAAGTCTGAGCCCAGTCATGCAATCCCTGACTTTCCCCATGTTGGTATATTAACAGGAAACAGTGTACCCGACCAGCTGAAGAACCCTTCCAGTGTTCGGTTGTTAGAGACCACCAAAGTCTCTGGAGTATTTTGTTTTTTAAAGACAGAAATGGCAGTTATCTGCCAAGGACAGGGGAAGTCTAAGAGCAGTGCAGCTGTTTGCCTGGCTAGCATCACATGCTCCCTCTATACACATAGAAATCCACCCTATTGGCCTTTAGGAAGGTGGTGAAGACCTGATTTTTCCCCAGGCAATGTTAATGGAGCTCTGGCATGGTTATGTGTGATCTATGGGTATGAAATTTTTATTGGAGCCTCAACATCTTTTTTTCTTTTCTCTTTCTTTAAAATTGTATTATGTTTTTATCCTTGTTTGTCATCCAGAATTCCTCTGGTAAATGGACAGCCATATACATTTGTTTATTTAATAATAAATATTATATAAGGTAGCTGTTGAATAAGTTATGCTCTTTTCATACTAGAAGGTTCTCCACTAGGTGCTGCCTGTGTTGCAGGATGCTTTGCATTTGTGTAGGATGATTGCTAGATTAGAAACAGCATCTCAGATAATTGCTTTTTATTCTGTAGATATACAGAATATTGTGTGAAGAAATGGTGTCTCAAAGACTTTTGCAATATTGCAGCTGTTTTGGGGTATCTTATCACCATAAGGAAAGGGCTGGGATAGAAGCTGCAGGGATGTTGCACAAAGTACTAGGAGTATATGGCTGGCCAAGTAAAAGGCAGGAATACCTTTGGGCTTTTTTCCCAGTTGGCCAACATTACTCTGTGGGGACGAGGAGCTTCAGAAAAGAGCAGGGGGGCAGATGTGGAGAGCATATTGCCAGTTCACATCACTGGGTAAGATAGTCATTAGTATTTCAAGTAAAATATGTTTTTTCAGTGTATTTCTTTTAATAGTTTTCTAGCATCACTGAGAATGGAAGAGAGTAGATGTTTAATTACATCAATTTGGTCTTTAAGTATGAATATAGGATTATGGCTCCAAAATAAATGTTGGTATTCTTTTAGAGGCATTACACAGTAAAGCTAAATGTGGGTACTTTCTGTTGTCTTCTAAGGTAAATAGGTAATAGAGGAGTAAATTTGGCAAAAACTTTTTTTTAAATAATTTCTTCAGGAAGCACTGACTTTTTCCCATTCTCTGAAGCAAAGATTTTTGTAATCTAGCAAGTCTAACATTCCATATTGGGGGTTTATTGTAAGGTAGTAAAACCAGATTTTATATCTCGTTTATTCCTACAACTTCTGATGTGCTTCCAAAAATGGTATTAAGGCAGCAGCTGAGGAAATTTTATGAGATAATGAAGCAGAACAGTTACTGAAAGCCATCTGCTCAGTTGTTTACAAACTTGCTTCAATACTTCAGAGGCAGTGGTAGAGTACGTGTCTAAACTTCACAAGCTGCACTAGGTAGAACTAAATGAAATGCGCCTGGGTTGGGCTGAGCTCGATCCCTCTCTGTGCAGTCTAAGCGGTTGCCAGGCAGGCCTGTTGGAAGCCAACAGAAAGCACCACACAGAGGTGATTATGTGCCACCATCTGTCACGCTTCAAGCCTACCATACAGCATGGCTAATCAGCCTTGGCAGGATGATGGATGAACAGCAGCAGCTGCCAAAAGCCACTGTTGGCAAACAGTCCTGAAGTTAAGAACTTTTTCCCCTCTCTGTTTTCCTCTCCAGGGTCCTGCTGCGTGTCCGCATGCTGTACTATCTGAGGCAAGAAGTTATAGGGGACCAAGCTGACAAGATCTTAGAGGGTTCTGATTCAAGGTTAGTGCAAATTCAAGTTTATTTGTTGCTTCATGCTCACTGTTCATGTGAATATTTATTTTTGATCATAAAAAGTTAAAGATTAAACATATCTGTTCAAGCTCTTTTATTATAACAGTGCATGTTTTGGTTGCTCAGTAAGGATGAAGAATTGTTCATTTCATGGAGAAAACTACTTTGACAGAATGTCAGTGAACAATTTTGATCCGTAAATCTAATATAAAGGTTTAAAGTGGGAGAAAGTATACCATCTTGGTTTATTTGGATAACTTAATTTCTTGTGTAGTCCCAGTTATACAAGTTTGTCCTTCTGACACACCAGCATTCAAAATTATTTGGAAATGCTAACTCTTTTATAGTGAGATTGATATTTGGATTCCTGAACCATTTCATGCTGAAGTTCCTACAGACTGGTGGGATAAGGAAGCAGATAAATCTCTTTTAATTGGAGTGTTCAAACATGGTAAGTGATGTCATACTTTGAACAGAACTCCTTGGTAAAGCTTTCTGTTATACCAATATTCAGTCACAATATTAACAAGTATAGTTCCAAAGAACTGTTGGCTTCTGTTCCCTTTTTTCCTTCTGCATTAAAAAAAAATGTATTTGAGTTGTAAATATCAGATGCTGTTTTTAAATGTTTGCAGAATATTTCAGAAGAAAACATTACTTTCTTGGCTGTAAATAACACAAAACCATATTTGTTTAAATAATAGCCAAATAGTTTTACAGATCTTCATAAACTCTGCTTCCAACATTGTTCACTTACTAACTCTGCCAGCCAGTGTCAAAGTGGATGGTGGGCTTAACCTCTGCTATTAATCTGTACAAGTGCCTCCTGGGCTTTGTTCCAAGCAATATTTCACAAATGTCAGTGCTGAGAACTCTGGGCTCCCTTGAGTGGGATGCAGCCTTGTTAACTTTGAAAGACTAGGGATGTAGAGCTGGCATGATATATACAGTGAGCAAATCCTGATTATAATCCCAATTCTCTGGAGGCTGCTGCAGTATTCTCAGAAGCCCAGATTGACTAAAGGGGAGAATGATGGCTTATAAAACCTTTCATGATTACAGTTTGGCTTGAGGCTGTACAGCAGTTAAGGAGAGTGTATTGTAGAATAAATCCTAATTGAATTGTGCTGCTCTGCCTATATACAGGAGTTCTGTTTTGTGGGCTCAGCTGAGGCAAGTCTAGCCTAAAAACCATGTTTGTGCCATGCACTGTTGGGATCTGCCATTTTCCTAGTCAATGTGGTCAGTAAGAAAAAAACAGTCTGAAAACCATGATGGGAGCAATATCATATTACAGTCATGCATCGTCCTATGTATTTGTCTATGTATGTATTTCCTGTGTAACACCCTGGTTTCAGTGGGACCAGAACAACCAAAAGGAAGTAGTTATCTCCCAAACTACCTTTGCATCTAATGGAAGAAGGGCAACTAGTAACTAGATACTGAGTATGAATATCTATCCTTGTATTTATCTTTCTCTTGTATCATTTACTCACACATATTTCAGGATCTTCGTTGGCAGTGTCATTACTTAAAGGGATTTTTAAAATAAGGTTTTCTTAGTTTATGATCAGTAAGAAAGCATAATCTGTAAGGATTCTTGTTTATAGATGTTGGTGTTTTGTATGTTTATCTGAATGCAGGTTATGAGAAGTACAATTCTATGAGAGCAGACTCTACTCTGTGTTTTCTGGAACGGGTTGGCATGCCTGATGCCAAGGCCATTGCTGCTGAGCAGAGAGGGACAGATCTATTAACAGATGGTGGTGATGGGTAAGCAGGACATTATAAAAAATTAATAAACTTTAACTGCATTGTGTATGCTGGCCTGACTTCACCTATTGCATCACATTTCTGGATCCTCATCATAGGAATGTTTCAAACTAATATTTATGTTGAAGAAAATGAAACATAATTTTTTATTATAATAATAGGTTTTACTGGGGGGATTTGTTTTTGCTGGAGATTTTAGGATTCTTTGTTTTTCTTTTTATTGTCCCTCATGATACTGGATAGTAAGCATTGAAAAATGTTTTGAGTTTTTAGCTCTGATATTATTTTCTGGATTTTATTTCATTTAGAGGTGATTTTGATAGAGAAGATGAAGACCCAGAATATAAACCAACCAGAATTCCATTCAAGGATGAAATTGATGTAAGAATCTATTGACATGCTAATGCAGAGACACATACATACATACATACGTACATACAAATGTTGTTGTAATAATGTTAATATTTTATAATACACATGTTTTATAACAAGGTTATTTTGAAACTGTATTTTCCAGGTGTGTGTGTGTGTGTGTTGGAATTTACCTCTTGTGCTTCCTTGAAACTTTATTATTCAATATATTTTCCTTTTTTTTTGTCAAAGGAATTTGCAAATTCACCTTCTGACAAGGAAGAATCCATAGAGCTCCATGCAGGTAAGATTTTATAAAAATCTGATAGAAGATTTTTATCAGAAAGATAAACCGAAAGAAGAGAGAGGATAATGATAAAAATGTGATCTGATGTGTGTTAAGGATCAACCTGTTTGTGTTATAGACTGTGAAATGTGCTAAATGCATTTTGGCGGTTTTACTTCTGTTATTCTTCTACATATTTTTATTTCATATATAATACATATTATAAATTAATTATGGCAAAGCTTAACCAGCAAAATCATTTAAGACAGAGACTAAATTTCCAAGTGTATACACAATCACACGAAGTGGATTGAGTATGAACATTGTCATCTGTATTATCTAATATAGTTGAATGTTACCACTGGAATACAGTTAAGAAAATTGTTCATGGTAGTAATTGCAAAGACCATTTCATGAAATTTCCTTTAACTCTGAGGAGGGATTTCTTATCAAAGGTGTTTTTGTTGGATGTTTTAAGATGATATATTGCAAATTGGTATTTGTCTTTGGTTATGAATACCTCTTATCATCCTTGGTAATATTCTCCAGGCAAGCACAGTGAAAATAGTGCTGATTTTGGTCAACTCTACTGGCCAAACACTTCAACCCTGACTACTCGCTTGCGCCGCCTCATTACTGCCTATCAACGTAGCTATAAAAGGCAACAAATGAGGCAAGAAGCTCTAATGAAGACTGACCGGCGTCGACGGCGACCTCGTGAAGAAGTGAGAGCACTGGAAGCAGAAAGAGAAGCTATAATAACAGAAAAACGTCAAAAGTAAGTTTCTTCAAGCTTCCTTCTCATACAAATGAGTGTTGCCTTGCAACGTAAATTACTGTCTTTAAAATAGAATCTGATAATCAGTTGGACTCTTAGAAGTATTCTGATGTGCTAATCTCTTTGTTTTTAGGTGGACAAGAAGAGAGGAAGCAGATTTTTATCGTGTTGTGTCTACTTTTGGAGTTATTTTTGAACCTATAAAGCAACAGTTTGATTGGAACCAGTTCAGAGCCTTTGCCAGACTTGATAAGAAATCTGACGAAAGTTTGGAGAAGTACTTCAGTTGTTTTGTAGCTATGTGTAGGCGAGTGTGTCGAATGCCAGCCAAACCAGATGAAGGCAAGCCCATTGTTTTCCACAATAGTAAAAATTGTCATTTATTAGCGGTGGTGACACTAGAAAAGTGCAGGTGGAAATTTTTAAGGATCTGTGTTTATTTTCCCTTTTACACTTTCATTTCCAGTTACGAACACGCATGCATCCATGTTAGTCACATGCTGTAGTCTTGCAACTGTAGAGTTCTAATTCTGTAAAATTAGAGCTCTGTTAATTCACATTAAAGCAAATGGGAGTAAAAGCTGCCTTCAGACTTGAAGACCTTACTGCTTAAGCATGACAAGAACAGGGAAGACATGTTTGAAATATGTTGGGGTATTGTAGGTGGAGCTTATTGTAGGTACCCTTGCTCCCACTAGACTTCCAACACTCAGATGAATAGGATGAATTCCTCTGTAGAACAACTGTAATTAATAATAGTGCTTTTAAGAGTGCTGCTTCCTTCTCTGAATTAGCACGCAGAGCTAGAGTTTATCTATTTATTTACTGTTTATTTGTTAGATTTATATCCCGGCTTTCCATTGGGAGCTCAAGGCAGAAAACATAGCATCCCTCCTTCAGGTTTTCCCTGCAACTTTCCTGTAAGGTAGTTTGGGCTGAAAGAATGTGACTGATACAAAACCACCCAGCATTCCACTGATAAGAGTGGACTTGAACCTCTCCTGTGCTAGTGCAACATCTTGACCACTGTGCTACACTGTAATTCAGTAAAGGATGAAAATGAAAAAAAAACCTGAGCAACTGACTCTTAACACTTCAGCAACTGATCTGTGGCCTTTAAGGTCTCAAGTCAAGCTTGATGCAGTTAAGAGCAACTAAGATTCTCTGCATTTGCAGAGAATAACTACAACTGTGTTTGCTTCAGCTTTTTTTGAGGGGGTGGGGTGTTGGTTGGGTTTATTTTAATTTTGGAATTATTTGAAACCTCATTATAACTTACATTATACAACTTAAAAAAACTATTCTTAAAATCAAATAGCACAGGATATTGCTTGATATGTATTAATTTTAAAAGCTTTCCTAATTTCCATATACCCCTTTTTTCCTTACAGAACCTCCTGATCTTTCTACTGTGATTGAGCCTATCACGGAAGAACGTGCTTCTCGAACTTTATATCGTATAGAACTCTTGCGGAAAGTTCGAGAACAGGTTCTCCATCACCCACTATTGGCAGAGAGGCTAAAATTGTGTCAGCCAAGTTTGGATTTACCAGAATGGTGGGAATGTGGCAAACATGATAAAGATTTATTGATTGGAGCTGCTAAACATGGAGTCAGCAGGACAGATTATCATATCCTGAATGATCCTGAACTTTCTTTTCTTGATTCTCATAAAAATTTTGCTCAAAATAGAGGTGGTGGTAATCTGACTACCATATCTCTATTAAATCCACTGGGTGTTTGCTGTAGTCAGTCAATGTCTATTATCCCAACCTCACTAGTACAAGATGAAAAATCTGGAGAACAAGTTGAGGTTAAACTGGAAGGTGCTGAAAAAATACCAGCCAAAGAAAAGTCTGGCAGTAAAGAGGAGGAGGAAGCAGCAGATGTTGCAGTAAAAAGTGATAAGGAGGAGGCTGAGGCTGCTCCTGTTAAATGTGAAATAAAGGACATAGAACTGAGTACAGAAGTTGATCCTAAATCAATTTCTGAGAAAGGTTCAGAAGATGATGAAGAAGAAAAACTTGATGATGATGACAAGTCAGAAGAATCTTCCCAACCTGAAGGTAATTGTATATATAATATGAATTAAACATTATATTGACTATACTTGGCAGGCCAGTTCTTAGCAGTTCTTTCAGTGGACTTAAGATTCTCCTTAAATCTGATCTCACTGAAACTTTTTAAAGTGCAGTTCTAGGAATGCAAGACTTCATTATTATTTTTTTTGATAAACCTTTCCACATTTATTTGTCTACCGAGGAATTTCTGCATCTGTCCAAAAATCCTTATGTGTTGTAGGAGATGTTGTACCATATTCTTAAGGCACTTGCCAAGACTGTTTGACCTCATTATTGCTTTCTGAGAACTGAGCACAGGCTTAATCATCAACACTGCTGTAAAGAAAGTTCAGTAGTAATGGACAAGAGAGCTTGAGAACACACTTTGATAGCCACGATTTCATTTGGTTCTAACAAAGGATAGCAATGTAAACATTTTAGAAATAGCACTGCCACCTGTGTTATTTACTCTGAGCTATAATAAAATAGAATATAAAACAATTAACTTATATAATCTAAGTAAGAGAGCATTCTAGAAAATTATTTTGATAATAACATACTAAATTTTACTAAGTATTTATAATTGCTCCAACAGAATTGCTAGGGTTTTTTTTCTCCTATCTTCACTTCAGAAATAAAATACATGAATAGCTGTCCCTTATGATGTATAGAAAATTCCCAATAAAGACTTTATCAGATCAAAACTTCAATGATCATATAAATCATCATCATCATAAGTGCCCTACTTTGGGGAGCTAATTTTTGGTGATTGTTATTTCTCAGCAGGAATGATTTCTCGGGGTAAGAATTTTGATGAAGAAAGCAATGCATCCCTGAGC